CCTAATAATATAATAACTATAATAACTCATTTTACTTTTAAAGTTTTGATATTGTAGCTGAATTTACTGTGTTTACAATTATTGTGTCCAATAACTACGTTTTAAAATTATAATAAAATTAATAATTGGTAACAATCATAATAAAAATGTATAATTCATTAAACAATGTAACATTACTTGCCTATACTATTTCTGTAGCTAATAATTTATATCATAATACCCTTCTTAAACTTTTATGTAATATTGTTTAATAATTAATAGTAAATTATATATTATATAAAGTTATGGCTTTTATAATAGAATATGTTTTAATATCAGTAATTACTTAAACTGATTTAATATGAATATGCTGACCACTAAATGTATTAAAAGATTTAAAAGAATTACTATATGAAATTGTGAATTAAGAACGTGTAAATAATACTCTAATACTTAAATATTTATAGTATATAAATAACAAAAATATTTAACAAGACATTCAAGAATTATCAAAAAATGCGTGCTTAACTTACACTTACCATCTACAAATAAAGTTAATGAAGCTTCACGTATATAAAGAATCCTAATGCACAAACACCAGTATCATCTGAAATAAAATTATAAAAGAGACACGCCATGCTGTTTGAAATATTAAAGCTTTTCATTATTATATACTTAGTCTTTCTGTAATATTTACAAATTTATATTACTAAGTTGAGATTTAAAAAATAATTTTAAATATTTATCCTTTCAATTTTTTTAGTCCTAATTTTAATTATTCAATCTTATACATTTTCCATATTACCTTATAAGTATGCAATTCTGATTTACATAAATATAAGTAATACATTTTATAGTTGCATTTAAATCTAAATACAAAAAATGATAACAAATTTACATTTGAGGAAATATGAATTATTCTTCAAAATTGTTAAAAAATCGTTAATTGACATTAAAAGAGAAAGTTAAAAATTATTTAGGATCGAAAACAATAACAGTCGAAAGTTTACTAATAAAAATTATTGATTATTTCGAAAATTATAAATAACTTGTTGGAACGCTTCTTCTAGATTTATTTATTTAAAGTTTTACTTAAATATTATCAAAACATTATCAATGTTCAAAAATGAATTCGATTTCTAAAAATTAAATATATTTTTTCTACTAATTTTCAAATTTATTCTTTGTTATATATACAAACTTTGTATTTAAACAAATATATTTTGAAATGAAAATTTACGAAATTAATGTGATATGAAACAAAGTTTTTATCTAGTACTTTTAGCTAATAGTAAATTAAAATATTATATAATCACAGAAAGATTAAGCAAATTGAATTTGTGAATATTGTATTAACTTCACCTACTACAAATGATTTTGTAATTTTAAATAATAAAGGCAAATACTATTTATCAAAAGAACTGTGTGATTGTAGATGACATAATATGATGACGATAGTTTGAATAGTGATATGTCAATTTTTAATGTTTAACCTCAATGCAATAGTAAATCTTCAACAAAGTTATTTTATTCTAGATACACTACATATCATTATTTAAATTTATTAGTTTTCATTATAAAACATGTTTGATATTATACTTAATACTTCAAATATAATAGTACATATTAAATATCGTGCCTTGTTCAATATTCAATGTCTTTCAATATTAAGTTTTCTCATGCAATGATTATAAAATTGTCGATATACAATCAAGTAAATATATCCCTCGTTTATAAAAAAAATAGGAAAAATTCAATACAGAATCCTCAGTAATGGTGTATTTTAGGATAACTTAATACTTTTAGTAAGTAAAGTTAACGGAGTACTTAAAATTTGCCATTCCAGTGAATTGGATGATAAAAAGTTGGATATTTCAATTAAAAAAGCAAAATTAATTTCTAAATTTCTCCTATTTATACATGTGAAAACTGTTATCACCATATTATATATCTCTTACAACCATATATAATTTTTCTAAATAATGCTTCTGCTTATTACTTAAAGGAAGAAACCATAATTGAGATAAATAGTGGGATATCCTATATGGATATGTAGTATATTATATAGCAAGATAATATGTATTGATATTGATAATATGATAATATGTACATTCAAAACAATAATAATAAAGTGCAAACATGCGAATGATAAAAAAGTAAACTCTTTTTATTATTTCCATCTTAAAATTGTAATTTTTAAATATACTATAATATTTATAATCATATTTTATATTCGTGCATATTAATACTCTACAGAGCATTACAGCTTCTGCATGGCATAAACATATTCAAAGTGAATTTATATATACATTACATAATAATACTTTAAGATCATGCAATTAGCAAATATTTACAAAATCACAAAATTATTTGAACTTTCTACTTACATGCATTCCTAGGCGATCAATTTCAGAAAGAACCCAACCAACAGATCCATCTCCACTGCATACCAATATACGAAAAGGATCGAAGTGACGGAATAATCTTAACCTATTTGTAAAGAAATATTAATAAGCTGTATTGGCTTAATCTAAAATTATACAAAATTATATAAAACATTTTACCCTGGTCCTGGTCCTCCTTTTATAAGATCAAATACTTGTGCTGGATTTAATAATTGTTTAAATCTTCTAAGAAATTTTATACCTTGATTGTCACCTGATTTACTATTTACAAATACTAAAAGTGGGCTGCATCCAGTAGGTCTTGTAGCTTCCCAAGCTTCATCGCTACCTATTAAATAATTATTATGCATTATATAAAGTTCGTTATATTACAAAACCAATCTAATAGAAATTTGTCTTCTGTGATACAAAATAATAATATAAAAGCTTAATATTTATTAAATAATTATATATCGCAACTAAACTATATAAAATAATAACAATAAATATGAAATATATTAAGAAAATTTTATAAATAATGTCACCTATACTATGCAGTGCTGTAGGAGGAACTACACTCAATTTAACTGGTCCTAATGGACACTTAACACTTATGGCTGGTCTACAAGCTGTATGTACTGTAGCTCTGCACCATAAACATCTCCAATCTTGAAGCCTAAATAGTTAAAATAAGAAAATAAGTACGAATTTTAAATACGAATTAATGCATATTTTTCATAAATTAATGTTATACCTGAGAACAGAGCCACAAGTTTTATCACATACAGAACATTTTGAGGATACTGGTAAATTGCCTTCCATCCATTGATGTGGCATAGTAATGTTCTATATAAAAATAGTTCATAAAATAAGTTGTAATAATTATAATTTTTTCTCCAATTAATTCAAAGAAATAATGTCATAAAAAATAAAAATCATTTTTATTTTGTTTTTATTTTAATCTTCCTTTTATTTGAATTACTGTTTTCTTTAATACATAATAAAAAATATATTTCAATAAAAGAAATTATATATTAACTTTGCTATATTTAACAGAAATAAAAAATGAATGTATAATATAAACCTAAACATTTTTCAAATGCCAGTATCTTTAAGAGAAAAATTTTAATCAACTGTTTGCACATACCCCATCTTGGTCCTCAATAATGTCCTTGCCAATAGATGCCAATGTGGTCCATTTGCAATTATTTATTGCTTTTATGCTACATCGTTTGTGTACTTTATATTTACATATTTCACAACTTAAACCATGGGAAGTAACACCTATAACATATAAGTCAATATGTATTAACTATCTATAATAGATAATAACATAATATAATACAATATATCAAATAACATAATATAATATATAATATCAAATTTATACATTAACTAATACTTAATAAAATACCATTAGAATTACAAAAATTGATACATTTAAGGACAATTTTATTATTTTATAAATATCTTTTATCTCTTGACAATTTTGTATTGATGTTTGTTAAACATCATAGAAATATAATTACCTCAACAATTATAAACTTTATTTGTAAAATTAGTGTAACATATTAAATCAAATATCAAAAAACATATATTAACAACAAAAAAATGTAATAACAATAATAAAATAAAAACGATATAATGATACTAAAAATTTTATATATAATTCAAACATGTATATCCTTGTTAAAATATACTTTTCTTTTGTAAAAATTGAACAACTATTTTATTAAATACATTAATTATAATAATAAAGAAAATTATTTATAATAAAATATTCATAATTACCGTAAAGAGCATCTCTGCAAATATTACAGTAAGTTGGTCTTGCATGACTTGTTGCATACCACTGATGATTACCACTAAGCATTTCTGCAATTCCAGAATCTGTCTGAGTATGATTTTTTGTTACTGTTCTTAATGCATTCAACCAATCTTCCATTTCTTGTTTACTTTTCCCACAGAGAACCAGTGATCGAAATGGAGTTATCACCTTAAAACACATATGACATACAATTATATATTATAATAAAAATATTTGTTCAATATTTTACTTTATTAATGTTGAACATTTCCATGAAAAAATATGAATTTTATATATTGTTTTATATAATCTTTGTGAGAAGAAATATCACACATCATTTTTTTTATTGTTCTAAATTAAATACATATTAAATAAATAAATATAACAAATACACTACATGCGATAAAGATTACTACAACTGCCACATTTATATTAGATTATAAATTGACATTTAATTTTGAAAAAAGTAACCTTGTATATGTATTTATGGCGTAAATCGAATTACCTTGAATCGAGTACGGGTTCTCTGTTGCTTCGGTGACATTTGAATTGCAATCTCAAACACGACATTTGTATGTATATAATTTGCACGTACTTCAAAGAACAACAAATGTTACATTCAAACGATAAAAAACAATTTTTGAACATACGAAAAATATAACAAAATGTATTGAGCATCGAAATAACGGAAGTATATAATAGTGGTGTGCGCACGATGCTCTTTTCTTCTTCTTTAAGCCATTGCTATGTCCTATTTTCCATGGCGCATGTCATGTCACCTCATTTATAAATAAATATCCGAATGAAAATGTAATGCATTATCGTAGAATCTTATTGTGTACGTAACTTATATTGTCAATGTAGTTCTATTATTCATATTATTCAAATCTCTTTACCATAAGAAGAGCTGAAAACGAAAATTGAAAACGAATTATATAATTAATTGTTAGTGCCTTTATTTAAAGATTCAATAGTATTAACATATGTATATATATGTGTGTATATTTATTTTCATATATTGATCACGTAATTAATTACAAATTTAAAAATCAGAATCTTTAAGATTACAAAAATTATAGACTTAATTATTTAAATTAAATATACATTGACGTGCAAATTTCTGACCTCATAAATTCTCCTGTTTATATTTCAAAAGTATTTTGAATCATATTTATGTATATTTGAATCATAAATATAATCATATTTTAAATTTTGAATGTTTGAGTAATATTATACAACTATCTAAGAATGTGTATTATATATAGAATATGTATTAATTTGTGTATTATGCTATTTTCTATTACTTATCATTACATTGCGAATTTTTATGCATTTATGGTAAATTTAAAAACACAAAGCATTTAGGATATACATATATACAGAAATATAAAAAATATTTGAAATAAACTAATCATTATAAAATTTATAGAATAAAATATATTGTATATTGTATTGTATATATTGTATATATAATCTATATAGGTTTTATTTTTTTAATTATGGCCATAAAAATATATATTTGCATAAAAATTCACGGTTTATTTATCATTCTCTTATAATCAATATTGTTCAAAATTCTTTTAGATACCATCTCTCAAATGCAACATTAAAAATTTATTCTGATCTGAAATTTTTGCACGTCATTGTAAATTATAAAATTGAACTAATAGCAATAATTATTAATATCCTTGTCTTGAAAAAAGTTTGGTAATAAAATGAATAATAAAAAATAAGCATATATTGCAATTGTTTGTACTTAAAATGCAAAATTTTATATTGTTATAAATATTATATGTTATATTATATGTTATAATAATGAAACTTCTAATAAAAAAGAAAGACAGACAGGCTATAAAAGCCAAAGGTAAAAACGTTACACAAAATGAGATGAATCTGATCTTGATGACTAACAGCGACCATGCAATCTTTTTTAACTTGTTCTGATTCGGATAATGACATAAACGTCACAAATATTTCTGTAGCACATTTACATGAGAATTTAAAAGTGTAAAAAACAGTTGGGAATTTTCATGTTTTTCTACAACAAAACGGATTATGCGAATAAGTTGATTTTCGATACCAAACAAGAATATATCTAATAGTTATTTAAAATCTAATAAAAAAATATAAAATATTTTTGTACACATGTGATACTTTTCATGATTATACTAATGTATGTATTCAAATTCTTCTGACTGAAACAATCCAATATACTTTTTTGAAACTTCCTTCTCAAACTGATACGCTATTCTCTATTTCTGCAGGGAGAATAGCTTTGCACATTATATTTATACATATATCCGCTGCCTTTTAGATAGAGCTAAATAGAGCAATAGAAAATGGAATAGATTTAAAATCAGAATAGAAGAGCACCTGAAGGATGATAGGTCTGAAGAAGAAATAAAATTGAAAAGCTGAAAAACAAAGAAAAAAGATTTGAAAGAAAGTGATCATAAAAGCGATAACAGTGATGAAGACTGTCTTATATAGACTTATATAGACTAGAAAATACCTGCACTTATATTTATAAATTATTGACTAATCGAAAAGGTAGAAAAAGAAATGTATTTGAATTAACTTTCTGTAATTTTATAATTTTATAAGTAGATTTGAACCTAATGAATTTATGTTAATACAAGCATGTAGAATAGAACATGAGTGAGTGTGGAGAAAAGAACATTATAAGAAAAAGAATTAAGAGAATCAAAATGAATGCAATTCGTATAATGTAATAAATATGTTTGAATATAGTGTACAAAATCAGAGAGTAACATGAAGAAAAATAATAAACCAAACCAATTTAACCAAAAATAAAAACCCTGATTGAAACTTTTACTTTATGGAGTAAAAATAAAATATTACAAAATGAAATCAAATATTGTTAGCAATCACAATATATATTTTAAGAATAATAAATATGATTATATACAGTCTTTTTTGGATATAAAGCACAATGAACAACATGGCAACATTGTTTTTACAAATTTAATTTATAGCAAAATATGTATTAGAGATTACATACAAATCGTTATTGACATCTTTAAAGAGAAATTGATCTGTATAAACTTTCAAATATTTAGATATAAGCATTATAATTGTGTAATATAAATATAAATGATATATGAATATTAAAGATAACTCAAATAATATATATAATCTCACTAACATTTTATGTGTGGTACTTATATTTGAAATATTTACATTGGTTTTAAGCAAATGTATATGTAAGGCAAATTTCAACTATGTTTGAACAAAATTGTAGCTTTTAAATTTGAATAGAGAAGCAGATAAGCTAGGGAGGTATGGACAAACAAGTCTGTTAATGACAAATGAAAAAGGTTAAATGAACACATAAATGAAAATAAGCAACAAACATCTCACAAAAAAACAATACAAATAAATTATAAACACTATAACAGTATAAGAAGACAATAGTGTAATTTGGCAATTACTCACAAAAAATATTGGAAAATTTCTCGTATCATTCTAGCAGTATCATTATAGCTTTTTACCATTTTAATTTTTAATAATAATGTAACTGCAAAACTTTCATAATTCTTGAAAATAAAAGAGCATGAAAGATAATTATTTGATTTTAAATTTTTGCTATAATTGTATAACTACATATACAGCGATATATAGTGGCATTATTAATTCCTAAAATCTTGATATAGGGAAGAAACTATATGATTTTGCTATGTATAATATATTATCAATAAAATTACTGTTATATTAGAAAAAAGAACTATAATAAAAGATGTAAAATAAATATTTAAAAGTTTTGACTTCAAACACTATTAAGTAACTACATTATATACAAGAATAACAAAAGTCATTCAATATAAATATAGAATAAACTTGCAATATCATTATACAGGGTGGTTGGTAACTGGTGGTACAAATGGAAAGGGAGTGAATTCTACGCGAAAAAAGAAATCGAAAATATAGAATAAGAATTTTTCGTTTGAGGCTTTGTTTTTAAGAAAATCGACTTTGAATTTTCGCTCGGTACGTGTGCACTTTATCACGTCTCGTTATAACGGATCTCACTGTAGATCGTTGTCTCGATGGAAAAATTAAAAAAAAATAAAAAAAAAATGTTTATTCTATATTTTCGACTTCTTTTTTCGCGTAGAATCACCCCCTTTCCGCTTGTACCACCAGTTACCAACCACCCTGTATACGTATAAATAGTAATAACATATATATATTTAACAAATTATAAATAATTTTGTGACTTTTACCAATTGTGTTTGTCCAATTCCTATAATAGCAAACTTTTGTCTTTTCAAAACAAGATCTATTTTAATTCCAGTGTAACTCAATATTTTACTACAATCCATTGTGTAAATTTATGTATTAGATTGCAGATTTTTATGCATTTATAGGAAATTTAAAAGTGTAAAATTGCACACAATACACACAATATGAAAGAGTATATAAAATGTCCAAAATATAATGCTTTCTATAATACTTAGTAAGTAAAATAATTTTCTATCTAGGTTTTTTTAAATTATATGTTGAAAATATGAATTCGCACAAAAATCTGCAGTCTAATAGTATAATAGCGTTAATTGAGTAAAATCTCAAGGAATACTGATGGAAATGTAAACACGATACAAGTTTGTTATCATTTTATCTCTATTTATTTTGTATATTCATATTACATCTGAGAAAATTCACTGAAATTATGTTAATAAAGGTTATGCTTTCATGTTAGTATAAGCTGGTACAATACTGTATTTACGTACCATTTGCAATTTTCACATTATCATAATTATGACGTAAGAACTGAAGATAATACATGCGTGCTATTTTTCTATTTAGGAGTGTACATATACTATCTTGCACTATAATTGTTTCACTGCAGCATTATTTAATCTCATTTACTGTGATAAAATATACTGTCACAAACATTTTATTATGAACAAAATCATGGAAAATCATACTAGCTAGGTTATGTTTACATTGAAGTGAAATTCTCGACACTGTTGCCAGATTTTGTTTCGCCATAGATCGTATTTAAAGTAGGCTGTGATATAATATATCTCTAACTGTTATAATTTAATTGTAATCAAAATGCAACTAATTGTATTGTATAATTTTCTAAAGTATTCTTTCCTTTTGTTTTCTTACTAATTCTTGTTTTTCAAGAAATTACTCAATACACGGATGTATATGTTTTGTTGGGCCATTATGCCTTTATATTCCTTTGTATGTTACGGTTGCAAACAGGCTATGTAAACTGTTACAAGATTTTTCAACTAAATAATTTATATTTAAAAGATTTTTAGGCAATTATTAAAAAAATATTAAATTTTTAAAAAACAAAGCTACAAAGAGCTTTCCGATAAGATTATTATTGAATGCATATCATGAAACCTTTATGTAATTATATGACATCATGATATAAAAAATTATTACTTATGTAATAGAATTTTGTAATATATATTTTAAACTTATTTTACATTAAATTTATTTCGTTTTGCATAAACACAAATACTTCAATATATTTCTGTTCGTGAAGCTAGTAACTTAGTTGTAACTAGTTGAATACAATAATTAATTGTTACATTTTTTAAATTTAATTGATAAAAATGTTTGTTTGTAGTTATACATGTTTATACACAATAAAAGTGACTGAAATATGGAAATTTTAACATATTTAACAAGAAAATAACATATAATGCATGTTGTCCAATAAATCAATTGCTATTAGTAGTGGTACAATATAACGTATGGTTGGGTGACCTGGCTATGTTAAACCTGCGATCACTTGGTTCAAGAGAAAAGATTAGAAATTAGTCAGAATCGTGTATATGGTTAAATTTCTCAGTAGATAATTAGTAATTACTGTGTTATAATATTAAAACTAATTAATATAAGATATAATAATGATTTTGTTAGAGATACACAATAGGATACTAGAAGAAACGTTAAGTAACAAAATAAAAAATACTCTGTCGGGGTAAGTAAAGTGCTTCCTTTTTTAAGGTCAAGATATTTTGCACATTTTTAAGATAAAGTTAGGGATTATAAGTTAGGGCGGTGTCCGTTTCAAATATTAGTGACGTTTATTGTAGTAGAATATTTAATATATGCATTAAAAATTTCCTTCTAAATTAAAACAAACAGTTTTAAATCCAAGATTTCTGCATTATGTCAAACAAGTGTTTATATAAAATGCGATGTTCATAACATTTGATTTTCTGCTTAAACATTTTTACATATATATATCTGATTATTTTAATATTAAAAATTGCATACGAGACTATGTAAATAATGCATAAAAATAACATATAGCCAAAATATATATAAAATAATTTTATAACATTATTAAGTAATTAATTTTTCCTGTTATCAATTTGTAATTTTGTATTTAATACAATTAAGATATATTTTCTTTGTAGTCATAAACCAGAATCCACAGATGTTGTTATAGCAGATTTTGATGGAGTTTTATTTCATATTTCTAACTTAAGTGGTGACAAGTCAAAAATTAGAGTAAGTTTTTAAAAAAGCTTTATCATATCTGTACTTTTCATTGCATGATAAGTTTTTATATAATCATCTCTTTATAGTAACAATATTATCAAATTGATATATTATTTTTTATATTTAATTATAACTATAGTATTTATTTATTATTATTATTTATTTATATCATTTTCAGTATTATCATAATCAAATTTAGATTTATATAATGTGCTTTATTTTATTTTTTACTTTATATTTTGATATTTTTATGTGTTTGATTCTTTTTGTTAACATTCTTCATTTTGTTACAGATAAGTATTTTACTTAAATTTTATAAACAATTACAAGAACATGGGGCTGATGAATTACTTATACGTGAATACGGATCTTACCTCATAGCTCCAGAAAATGGTAAACAAATTAAATTATATTTGAAGTACTTAAAATTGTTATTCAAAAATTATTAAATAAAATATTGGTATTTCCATTACTAGGTTACAATGTTTCTGTATTAATAGACTTGGAAAATTTGCCCGAAGATTGGGAATCATTAGTTAAAAAAGTTGCACTCTTAAAGAGACACTGTTTTGCCAGTGTTTTTGAGAAGTATTTTGATTTTCAAGAAGAGTATTATGATTCACCAGGTACCCAGTTGCAAAAAAGGGCAGTAATTCAATATAGAGACGAAGAAACAATGTAAGAATATACTTTCACTTTGCAATGATAATGAAAGTAAGATATATTTAATTTATACATATTTTACATAAAGGTATGTTGAAGCCAAAAGTGATAGAGTAACAGTGGTATTTAGCACAATATTTAAAGATGAAGATGATATGGTTATTGGAAAGTTATTTTTACAAGAATTGAAAGAAGGAAGACGTGCAAGTCACACAGCTCCACAGGTTCTATTTAATCACCGTGAACCACCATTAGAATTACAAGATTCTGAGGCAGCTGTTGGAGACTGCATTGGATACATCACATTCGGTAGATATAAATCTAATTATGCCTAAATTTTAAAAGTACATAAAAAACATGCAAAGAATATTAAAAGTGACATATTTATCTATCTCATTTGTTATATGTTTCTTTTTGCAGTATTATTTCCAAGGCATACAAACAGAGAAGCTCGTGATAATACTATTGATTTAATACACATGTTTAGAAATTACTTACATTATCATATTAAATATAGTAAAGTTTATATTCACTCAAGGATGCGCACCAAAACAACAGACTTCCTAAAGATATTAAATAGAGCAAGATCTCAATCGAAAAACACTGAGAAGAAAACCATTACGTAAGTTCTTTAAAAAATATATGCTGCTTAATATATTATATTAGGATAATAAATATAAAAATGTTTTATGTTTTACAGAGGTAGAACGTTTATCAGGAAGGAATGAGTGTAAACATAAGATTATATTCCTTATATTGTTTTAATAAAGGATAAATGACAAAGTTCTCATTTATCTCATAGATTTGCTAGAAATTTTTTGATCTTCTGGCAAGAAATATTGTTTGTAATGAAAGATTCTAATTCATCAGATTAATGAGTTAAAAGCTGTCAGTCTTTGAGTCTTACCACTCATTGTCTCTGAACAGTACAATGATCTTTAGAAAAATCTATATTGCTGTAAACATACTTAAAATGTGTGTACAGCAACGAAACGCATGATTAAAAAGCCATTTTATATTGAAATTCTTAAAATAATATTACAAGAGTGCATAAAGTCTTCGAAAAAATCAGGGAATACATAGTCTGTTTATGAATAAAGTTAAAAAATATCCTGTGTTTTACTACTTTTACATGTAAAATATGATCTTAATGCTATTAAGCTTTATGATCAAAGATGCATAATCGCATGTTCTACTTTTTTAAAACATATTTTGTGTTTATTAATTTCAGGAAAATTGTCATTTTCTATAAATTCCACGTACAACGAAAATGTTTAAAATAACAAGGAACGCGTGGATTTTATAAAGAAATATATCAATGTATCATTTGTATGTTTAATAACATAGCACTGTCTTTTTTGATAAATTATTTTTGTTAGCTATATTTTATTGTCTCTTATTAACGTATAATTGTAAGATAATAAAAGTATTAATTCTATAAGTGATGTAATTACCAAACCTTTGTTTGTATTAATCGGAAATATTGATCTAGTGACTATGAAAATTAGTACTATTGATTTGTAATTAGCAAATGGATGTAAGGGTTGGAAGACATGATTAAGGTGAAAACTAGGGAGTGCCAAATACGGGTGTTCATTAATAACCACACCTCTTTATTTAACACTGACATAAAAGCTACAGTATGTGCCTCTTAAAATTTCAGTTATACGCATTCTTTCACACAGTATTCCATACTGTTCTACCCTTCTGTTTAAAACTTTTCATTGTATTAATTATTCCTATGATTAAGTGAAAACGAATTAAAAATTTTTTATGTTAATACAGATTATATTACATTTTTTAAAATATGTAAGTACCATAGATTATTATAACCATTTTTATTATAGTTAAAATATATGAATATATACTATAATGTGATATTAATATAAAATACTTTGTTGATAGCGTTTAGAAACAAACTTTATATTATTTTGCATTACTTTTTTAATGTAAAAATTCGTTTAATTAAAGTTTACATTTATAATTATACATGATATATAATTATGTGATTAATACTATAAAGAAATGAAATGAAATATTCACAATAATGACTTAACAATGATATTTATTCTCCATTTAAATATGTCTTACTTCTTAAAATTTATTTAAGTGACTGAATCTTTTTAGTAATTGACTATGAAGGAATTGGATGAACCAACTATTGCATCAATTTTATCTTCATCCTTTCCACCATGTTCACCTCATGAAATAGCAGTACGACCTGGAGACTGTGTTGAAGGAAGAGTTGAAAAATGGTTGGAAGATGAAGCATTTTCAGGATTTCGAGTTTGGCAACTTGCTGGCATAATACTTTCTATTTTACTTAGTGTATTGATTGGACTTTGTTGTTGTATCCGATTTAGAGTGCCACGAACTAAACAAGAAATAGAAGCTGATTATATTCGAAAAAAAATAACAGAGAGTTTCAGACAAGAATTATTTAAAATCAGTAATATGGAAATGGATGATATGGACTTGAAGAAAGGTAAAGGAGTCCAAAGCAAGGTTGTAACAGAAAACGCTTAATAATGTTTTCATTGATTTACTTTATTATTTCAGTTAGTTTAAATACACATATTTGTTCTTTATTAGCATTAAGCAAAATTCAAAATAAATTTGATATGGAAGTACAAGAGGTACAAAAGGATCATCAAGAAGCAACATATAAGAATATACAACATGGATTACGATCAAGATTCAATGCAATGTTCAGTGGAATTCATTTTACTAAACAAGAACATCCTAATGTTGACAGCATAATTTAATGAATTTACAAATAAATGCGTCATTATAGAACATTGATATTAAATACTATATCTACAATTATGATTAATTTTTTGAAACAATAATATTGTTAGTATTATTAAATTTTCAGTTAAAATTTGTAATAATTAATTAAATTACGTATTCATTGTAATAATATTAAATGAAATAAATTCTATACAGCGTTAATTGACTAAATATAATCTTTATTTTATGAATATAATACAGAAATTAATTTATCATACATGCAACAATAATCTATAGCAAAAGATAATACATTTTAGAAAGCACTTAATAGGACTAATGTATATTACCTACCACATTATGTTTTATTTACTTATATTATTAGATGGTTAGTATTGTTAAAAGTGCAGATTTCTCACTGTTATTAAATAAAATAAATTGTTACAAATTATATGTAATTTAAATGAGACATTATTCATAAAAGAAGAAGTAATCACAGTACAAATTTTATATTTTCATTAATGATTAAAGATTATTATTACGTTTGTTTCTAAACGATATAAGTTATTAATGCTAGTACATTTATAGAGTTAAATCATCTTATATGTATACGAAACAAAATTTTTAGACATAATTCTTATTGTCTCTCTCTCTCTTTCGTTCTCTCTTCTCTTACTCTGTCTTTCTCTCTCTTCTTTGAAAACCAAAATTTGTTTACTCTTTACTATGTACGTAAGACAATTATAAAATTATTTACTATTTTAATTTTAAAACAATTTGTGGAAATGTTATAAAATTTAACAGAATATAAATATTTATAAAACCTATTTATTAGCTGGCAAACAAAAAATAACTAACATTATTGTAAAATGAACCAGATATAAAATTATAAATGAATTTTTACGATTGACTTTACGTAAAAAGCATTAAGATGAGAAACAAATAGCAGAAAAAATAACAAAATATGAATCCTTTTAATAAAATTCTGAATATCCAATAAAATGAGTTTAATAAAAGTTACATTTTAATCATCTTTTTAGAAATATGGTCTCTTTATAGATATAAACATTTCTCATAGAGAAATAAAAATTTTAGAAGAAATATGACTTATCATATATACATACATCGCTCGCACATATTATACACACACGCATATAGGAATGATTTAATTTATCATAGTGTTTTAACTACCTTAATGCTCCTTCCACTTCATAAAATGAAACTAAATTTAGTAAGGAAATTGAATTAATCTAGATTTTTAACATTGTACAGCACCAACTGGTGTATTATTTTCCATATTTTTAATAATATCACATATAGTAGTTATTCACATGGAATATTTTAATTATACTCTGATGAAATACGACATTTAAAAGTCTAATACTTTTAAAAGCTCGTATGGATCAATATATTTTATTTTAGAAATAACCCATTAAGTTAAGAAAGAAGCTGTTTATTTAATATTTATATTTATAGAAAAGAAATATTTTCTTACATAAATATTTTTTTTAAGATTTTATAAGATTTTTTTAAGATTTAAATATTTTTTTACAAAAAAAATATTCTTATAAGGACTTTTCCCTTAAATAGATATTTTTCTTTCTCAACCAAAAATCATTTATGATAGGAATAAATTTAAGGAAACTGTAATATTACTGATGTATCTCATTTGAAATTAGATCTATACTGTTGCATAATCCATATTGATTTTTTCTAAAATGAATTTCTATAACTAATATTGAGATATAAGTAGAGGAAGTTATAAGAGAATCTTCCACATGGAGCAAGGAAGTTTTATTCTACTATAAATTAATAAACTGTAGGAAAAACTTCATGGACTAGAGGATCCAATAGAAGCGTAATGTACAATATAGACAATATTTTTAAAGGATTCGAAGTCGTTGTACATTGTGCAAAACGTTTCCATAGAGTGAAGGAACTACCTATGCTTTTAAAATCTACCTGCATGCGTTCTTTCAGTATGATCCTATTTATAGTAACAAAGAGGTATAGGCTAACTGACATATAAGTGTAACGATGACAGGATACCTCTAATTGATGAAGATTGGGAATTCACTACGAGGTAAGAGGTTTTCATAGAACTTGACCAAATAGCATTTTATTGTGCTACAGGACCATTAGCAACAATTGCGCTACGAAACCATTAGCAACAATTGCGCTAAATAGTCCATTTAAGCGTACCTTCACGAGATCTTATTTCTCCACCACGAAAATTTCATTTTCGGGCTTAAATATTGAAAGCTGATGACTGTTTGTGGAATCAACGATAAGATTGGTAAAAAATTTCCGCAGCTTCGACCTTTTGGTTCATCATCTAGCGGTTCTGTTACAGTTTCGCTCATAATGTTATGGTGTGGCGTGGAATACGGATACGGTGTTGAGAGTGGATTACAAGTAATATGTACCTCCCCCATATTCCATTTATTTTTTGTATCACTCGAGTCATTTCCTTGAGTCAATTCCGAAACACACGAAAAAGGTACCTTTTCATCTGTGGAGGTGATGGAACGATTAGAAATATTGATTACACGACCTTCTGATGTCAAATTACTTTTACGATGATTAAATACACTATGATCTAACATAGAGTTTGATAAATTCATTGATTTTAAAGACGTTTTTCTATAGACTTTTGATCGTGTAAGGGGTTTAATTGTTAATTGTGGTGACGATACTGATCGCACAGAGTAGGAATTAGTACCTCTATTAATATCCATGTGATTTTGCAGAGGGTGACAATCGTTACTGTTTGTATTTAAATGTTTATCTTTTATAGATACATCGGGATTGATGGATTGAAGAGTGGATGTAACTGCTGGACTTGTGGGTGTTGTAATAATTTTTTCTTGGGTAATTATAGAATTTTGTATAGTGCACTCGTTAAGATTTGTTTCATTATTATGTTTTATATATTGAGTAGATACAAGATCATGTTCTTTGTAAATATTTTCAGATTTTAATATATGTTTTATAGACTGATTATGTTTGTTTGCCTCATTTATGGAATTGGAAAAAGAAAAGGAAGTTTGAAAACGGATAGAATTATTAATAAGCGCTTCATTAGTTCCTAGTTGGTTAGGTCCAAATGAAGCGTCCATGAACCCTCAGCTTGGGAATCTTGAATAGAATGCACAGGTCAAATCATAATTCTTGAAGCGGCAATATTGCACATCTGTACGTAGCCAATCACCAGAACCTTTCAGATAATCAGTTTGCTCTAAATCACGTGGACAAGTAGCAGCGATTGATTCTTTGTTAGCAAAGATGGTCACAACAAATTTTTTTGGTTTGAAAGTGTTTAGAACACGTCGTATTATTTCCTCATATGATGCTTCTGGAATGTTACTCTCAAATGAAACATATGAAAACTCTGGCTCTGGTGTAATATGAATAGTCATGTAATTTCCCTGTAAAATACATATAATTACTTCTATATGTATTCTTTATATAATGTCAATTTTTTACTTTCCAGCAAGTATACTTACATTTCTAGATACTCCATTCATTGAATATCCACAAGGTTCAAACAAAAAATCATCTATAATCATGTTTGGAATAAGTTTGTCAATTCCTGATTTTTGAGTTGCTTCGTCTGCAGAGGAGCATACATCTCTAGTGAAAAGAGACATTACTTCTGGATCTAAATGAGTCATTAGGATCTCTAAAGTTTGATCTGGTTCTATGGGCTCATCTACAGACTTCTCTTTATTCAAAGTGTATAAATACCAACAATCTGAATCTACAGAGCCTAAACAATAAGCTTCCCCAGCTAGAAAAAAAATTATAGCAAATTACATTTTCCTTGAAACCTTTTCTTCATCATAATTATAACATTCATTTTATACAATATTACAAAATTTAAATGCATAAACATAAAACGTATTGTTACCAGGGAAGAATGTATCAAGCAAAGCAACTTCTTCTTCAAATGCTTGATGTGGGGATATTTGTAACTCTGGCTTCTTGTAATTTTTTCTTGAGTAAAATACATTCTGAAACAATAATTACAATTTTATATAACCCACATTTCAATATTTTCTGTTTTTTTTTAAATATAAATAACTTGATCATACATAGTAATAAAATAAAACTAATTGGAATATATATTTACAGACGATATAAAGACAAGAAGCATTAAATTAAAAATAATTTTGGACAAATGTATTGTCATGTGCTATATCGTGAGTAGGAGAGATCAATAAACCAAGAGGTAGAGATGTATCCTGTATACTAGAGGTTTCCTATATATAGACACATCATTTATCCATGCACTAGGTCAAGTTATATAGCCAAGTACTTTCAACTTCAATTAGTTTGCCTTAAATGGTAATGATTATAAACAAAAATTATAATAGTTTATAATACATTACTCTTGCAGTATAATGCATATATATCAGTAAAATAGACAATTTTTTATATTTTCTTTTATAAAAGTAATGTTTTACATATATTTTAAGTTTAATTAATAAGCTATACTTAAGAAATTATAAAATTTTCTAATTTGTGTATTAGTAACAAAATTAATTAATAATGAAAAATATTGAAGAAGTTTCATACCTCTACTTCTTCAAAGCCAGTATACTCTTTTACAAGTTCCAAAAGGGGCTCCAAACATTGAAGAGGGGTAGTTGTGCCACATGTTTTAAGGATAAGTCTACGCTTTGATAGGAACATGCTGCTTTCACTGTAAAATAAAATTAATACTTATAATATTTTGTATTTAATTCTGGATATGATTTATTATCAATTTTATTTGCAAAATTTATTCTTTATATTAAAATTATATCAAATATATTTTTATTTATATGCTAATATTATTTATATTTCAATCTTTTCTTATAAAATAAAATACAAATAATGGTATTTAATTGTTACATTTTAAGTGGTGTTATAATAATCTATTGCTAAATTCATGTAATTATTTGAAGTTGATTTATATAATTATGCTCAAAATGTAACATTGAATACAAGGTAAATGTACATTTCCTAAGAATTGTAATTTCATATATGAGCCTGTCAGAAACCAAACCGATTAACTCTACCGTTTATTAATTTCTTAATTCTATTAAACAAGTATGCAATTAACATTCAATCTTAAGAAATAAATGATTTACTTCTACAATTTCATTCATGGCAAGATAACATAAATAATAGTAAAATCTAAGGTAAATTTAAAGAATAGTACTGTAACATTATCACATTTCTATACTTTTTAAATATGGAGTTAACTAATTTAGTTTTTGAATGGCTCATATTATAACTTAAATCATTATCATATAATAGGAAGGAAATATTTTGTCGTCATTACTCCTCTGAAATATCGATTAGCGATGATGTCATACAAAAAGGCGTAATAAAATAAATTTTGTAGTTGAATTCGAAATGTTGCTCTAAGTCCTAAGCAAATGTTCATAATCGCTAAATAATAAATATTTAAACAGTTATGTAATAATATCTAAAATTAGTTTATTCTAGTAACATTAATTAAAGCTTTCCTTCGCAGACTAAAATAAACTGAGGAATGAATAAATAAAAACATATTAGAATATTCTATAATATTAGTAAATTCATATTTAAATGACTATCTTTTTGATTTAAAAAATTATATGTATAGGATGCCATATTTTAGTTTCCTTAGATAAGTATTTCGAAAATTATGGAAGATACTGAAATATGTTTTAGCCAAAAATTGTAAGAATCAAGGAGGGTAGATCATGGTGACATTTATTTGACCTTGAAATAACCTTGAAAAATTCTGCTAAAATAACAAACTGTTAACATAATCTTTCTCTCTTGATATCCTCTAACTTTTGTCTGAAGCATTTGCCTAAGTCTTAATGCAATATTCTAAATATTTGTTTGTGTATACATATACAATATATATATATATATTATTAATATTTTAAAAGTATTTTGATCATTTTTAATTAAAGTAAAGATATTTTACAACATATTCCTATTATACAGGGTGGTTAGTAACTGGTGGTACAAGCGGAAAGGGGGTGATTCTATGCGAAAAAAGAAGTCGAAAATATAGAATAAAAATTTTTCGTTTAAGGCTTTGTTTTCGAGAAAATCGACTTTGAATTTTCGCTCGGTACGCGTACACTTTACCACGTCTCGTTATAACGGATCTCGCTGTAGATCGTTGTCTCGATGGAAAAATTAAAAAAAAGAAAAAAAATTTTTGTTTAAATTTTTATTCTATATTTTCGACTTCTTTTTTCGCATAGAATCACCCCCTTTCCGCTTGTACCACCAGTTACTAACCACCCTGTATAATAGGAATATGTTGTAAAATATCTTTACTTTAATTAAAAATGATCAAAATACTTTTAAAATATTAATAATATATATATATATATTGTATATGTATACACAAACAAATATTTAGAATATTGCATTAAGACTTAGGCAAATGCTTCAGACAAAAGTTAGAGGATATCAAGAGAGAAAGATTATGTTAACAGTTTGTTATTTTAGCAGAATTTTTCAAGGTTATTTCAAGGTCAAATAAATGTCACCATGATCTACCCTCCTTGATTCTTACAATTTTTGGCTAAAACATATTTCAGTATCTTCCATAATTTTCGAAATACTTATCTAAGGAAACTAAAATATGGCATCCTATACATATAATTTTTTAAATCAAAAAGATAGTCATTTAAATATGAATTTACTAATATTATAGAATATTCTAATATGTTTTTATTTATTCATTCCTCAGTTTATTTTAGTCTGCGAAGGAAAGCTTTAATTAATGTTACTAGAATAAACTAATTTTAGATATTATTACATAACTGTTTAAATATTTATTATTTAGCGATTATGAACATTTGCTTAGGACTTAGAGCAACATTTCGAATTCAACTACAAAATTTATTTTATTACGCCTTTTTGTATGACATCATCGCTAATCGATATTTCAGAGGAGTAATGACGACAAAATACACGTGCTTAGCTAAGCTTAAAATTTATTACAAGTTTATTACTTTCCTTTAAATTGAATAAGATTTCAAAGCTAAACACTGAGGATACAAAACAGGAATGAAGAGAAGAGAAATTTCGCTTAAAATTAACATTAAACGATATAACCGAAGGAATTCGAAGGATTTTACAGAAATTGTATTCTTGATTTGTTTTTGAACAGCATTTTTGGCATACATAATGAATTAAAAGTTATCAAAGAATGGAGGTTATTAAAAGACATTTACTTGGCTTCCACTGTAATATTATTTTTAGTTTCAGATCTAGATGGTATTAGATGAAAATAAAGTAAGACAAAATATGCTTATGTACCTTCCGTAAAATACTTAGAAAACAACTGTAACGATAATTAATCAAATATATTATAATATATTTCAAACATGAGGTATATGTGAAACCCAGAGTTAGAGTGTATTAAGATCATACAATAGTATAATAATGATATTAAGTTCATATGTATGCTTTTGCAATTTTCGTTTGCTCTCCTTTAAAGCATGAAAAATGTGACTTAATAAAAGTCTGACTCTGAAATCAAAATATACGTATACACGTATGTATAATAATGCATATTATAACAACAATAACAACAACAACAACGATAATAATAATAATTTATCTTTTCAGCCTCCTGGCTATGAAAAGGAACTCGGTGTACAATTGTTATTCTTATTTGCTTTGCATTCTGAACGTTGCATCCTTCAGATACATATATGTGCACATTCTTCTTACCAGACTATTTAACTGTAGTATTAACTCAACTATTGCCTATCTATCTAATTATACTTATTTAACTCTTATTGTTTAACTCTTATCTGACTATTTAATATGAATCTAGTTATTCTTATTTGCGAATATAATTAAGAAAGTAGAATCTCAGTAGAAAGTTATTTTACCTCCTAGATATTATAGAAAGCATTATACTTTGGATATTTTACATATTTTTTTATATTATGTGCATTCTATTGGGTTGGCAACTATTGATTGCGGATTTTGTCATTAGGCGGTAATGACAAAATCTATATCTATATATATATATATATATATATGTATTATATTATATGTATGTATTATATTATAGTATTATAATATATATATAGGTCGCAAATTATTATGCATTTATAGGAAATTAAAAAGTGCGAAACTATATATTGGATTGGCAACTAAGTGATTGCAGATTTTGTCATATATTATTTGTGATTTAGAATAAATCTATTTTATGCTAGTTGATAATATTTGATCAAATCGTATTCTTACTACGGACGCGTTCATAACTTCCACTTGACTATACAAATATCACGATTTCTTCTAGAATTTACTATACATATATTATTTGCGGGTTATCATTGGTATTTCGTATAGACATTGACCCTAGATTTTCTGAGTAAATAAAGATGCACGAATCACATTATTAGTCGAAATGAAACGTGAAAAAAGTCAAGATAAAACGTTAAAGTACAGTGACCACAGACAAGATAACTGTGATACTGATTCAAGTACGATGACATAGAAATATAAATGAATAAAGTATTGATCTCTCCCTAAATGTCGCATTATTTCTCGCAAGTTCCATTTTCTCTAAATTCTTTGCAGTTTCTAAACTTCGCCCTAGAGAAATCCTTACTTTTCTATTAAATCTGAAATTAGTAATCTTCTGAAAGATATTTTGTTCCTCTTTTGTTATAAGACAAAAATTATTCTTGATCTTGATCATTTAAGATTACAAAGGATTAGTGTAATAATAAGGTAATTGTAGTAATAATATTGCAATAATGAAGTAATTATAACAATAAAGCAATAATCAAATTTGATAAAGATTATATAAAAGAATGGCATTTCATTATTTTTCTATGGGAGTATAATTTAAAAGTATTCATAATTTAAATGATTATATAACGCAATGTCAATTAGTTAATCCAGACTCATAATGCAGTAAACTCTACAACAGTCCGCTCGTGAATGGAGGACTCATTTTAATGTTTAGATCTCAAGTTCTCGGAAATCAGCCGCAATTGCTATTAGTAAACCATCTAGCTCAATAAATAATTACAGCTACAAGTAGTACACTAGTTATGTAGTACACTAATATATAAGTAGTAATTATAATTTCCGAATAAATGGTCACTCTTGCATATGTACATATATTTATTTTGTGTATAAACCTAAAAAATTTTCTAAAAAGAATAAAAAGTTCCATAATTTTCTAGAAAAAGTTGGCATTAAATTATATGTGTCAGTATTATCATTATTCTAGTTTATTAAGTATTATTTATGTATATCATTATTCAAATTTATTTCGTGAATAAATTTAAACAATTCTTGCAATGCATCATGAAACAAAATCTTATTGCAAAATATTCAAAATTAAACAAAAGAGAAAAAAGAATAAAAACTCATCCAATAGATGTTTACAATATGTATATATGTTATAGAAATATAATAATCTTTGTGCTTACGGGTTACATTACTCTCTCGTAAAGTAAATCGTTTGATATTAAATTTCATTTGAGAATCAAATCTAGTTTATCTCTTTTTCACATATATATATACGTACGTATACTCGCTCATTCACTCACACTTACATACATGGCGATGTGTACACGTTCACATGCCTGTCATATTGTGCAACGCGGAAAAACTGCGATGGAAAAAACAAGTATGAGAAGATCTTTAAAATGTCGAAGCATGACTATAGCGAAT